AACTGTATTTGAAATATATATTGGGGAAACAGATGGGCCCCCAAAACCAATGGGCCCTGAGACTGAAACCCTCCTTGACCCCCCCCCCCCATAATCCGGGATTGGACACACGGTGCGCTGCAGCCGACTTCGTGCGGTTCGCTGACGACATGCGGTTCGCTGCGTAACTGGCGGTTCGCTGACGACGTGCGGATCGCTGACGGCGTGCCGTTGCGCTCGGGACGTTCGGTTCGCTGACGACGTATGGTGCCTTGACGACGTGTGGTTCAATGACGACTCTAGGTGCGCTAAAGAAGTGTGATTCGCGTGATAATTCATACATTTTCCATTAGAGGCTAGATATTCCCATTGGGTGCTTAATATTTCACACTTTCACAGACAAGCTATTTATTATAAAATCATTCATTTCACACATACAACTTACTGTAAAAGATTTTCTTAAAATGTGGACTATGCCTACCGGGGACACCACAATAAAAAAAACGCGCCACGTATAATACCTCTTGCGTTTAAACAACATGGACGATGTAATGTCTTACGTTTAACAAGCAAATGGTGGTGTGGAAATTTATGCACATCTTTGTCATCATGAATCGTGTGATACTAATAGTTGCAATAAATAATTGCAGAGACTTATTACATATATAAAAGTGATCTTAGTTTAAAATAATTTGGATTTAGAGATAATGTGGGATTCTAGGAAGAAATTTCACACTTTTCTAACTTTGTGAAGTGTTAGACAAAGAAAATGGATGATAATTTAGTTGTAGATTTAGATGAAAATTTTTCGCTGTGCATCGTCTCCGTACTATTCAATTTATTTTAATATTATTTAATTTAAGAATTTCGTTACTTTCTCGTTTATTCCATATTTTTTTTCCATTTCAGGCTAGATATTTCCTCGAAACAGGTGTTATGCTTATTTTATGATATGTTTCGAACAGTTATTATTTAAAATATATACTAAAAACAAGTCTCAAAGCGTCACAAACAGGAAATGTTAGATTTCATAATGACATTAAAAAATAAGGGAAAGTACGAGTGCCTATAAGCTGCAGGCTTCGATTATTATATTAATTACTAGATTTTGTAGCTCTCTACCATCATTACAAGCTTACTTACAGGTGGTAGATAGATTCATCTTATTAAATTCTTGTAAACTTGTTCTTTTGAGCTCTATATAATTTATAATAAATTAATTTTATTTAATAAAAAAAAAAAAATTACATGTGTCCGCGATATTGTCTGACTGGAAAAACCGACATTTTATAGTAATTATCGACGGTTGAATTTACTCTAAAACTTAGACGTACACGTATACACCTATAGGCTAGATAACCTTGCTAATTTTTTTTTAAATTATTGTAATTTGTAGTTCTACTTAGGCGAGTCGTCAATGTCTAACAAAAATGAAATTAACATGGACAATACTCCCAAAACCTACGGCCCAAAGGCTACGGTGGCACACGTTGGTATCACATTATAATATATGTATACAAACCTTTTTTAAAATATAAAACAAACTAAAACAACTGCAATTTTTTCGCTATAACAGCGCAGAACCTTCTTTTAATTGGATTGGGCTTGGAAATAGGAATGCCCACAATTGTTATTCAACAATTATATCGAAATTCGGAGAGTGAATTCTAATTAACATTAACTGAAGTTTCGTGGTATGGTTATTATATAATATAAATAATAGATTTACAGTTTAGGTTAAGTATACATTTGTAAGTAATGGAAATACTCTAGACGTTGAAAAAAAGGATTATTATACTTACCCAACTCAAAATAATTGATTTATTCTATAATATTGCTCTCTATCGAGTCTTAACTGTTTTCTAATAACTCACACCACATCACAATATGTGTTAGCAATAATAGTTGTTGTGGGTACTAACCGACCGACCCGACTCTCTAAAAACAAATCCAGCCACATTGTAGATTTGATTTTATTTTTATCATTGTTCTTGTAACATTTAACAATTATGGATAAGAAAAATAATAATGATAATAATAATGGATTATACATAAAGTTAGGTACAATTTATTATTATTTATAATGATGAAAATATTTGAACAACTAACATGTATTTGATTCTAATTTATGTAGTTATTAGTTCATTGAGATTTCAGAACATGAACTATCTAAGGTAACCAAAAAAAGGGTTAAGATTATTAAAAAACTAGAGGTTCGCTATTTAGTGAGTTTATCAAATTGAAAATCAGAACACTGCACTACAATACGTTTCACGAAATTGTACTCAGCTTATATGCGTCGTTTTTGTGATAAATTGTGGAGTATAATAATATTATTGTAGGTACCTATCAATATAATATTATACAAACTGTTGTTCGCGCACCAGTTCAAATCATCCACACTCTGCCGCATCAAATAGGTACGCTCAATTATACATTTATATTTTTTACTATTATACAGAGAGTATATTGTTTATATTTCATCCGACCGGAAGTTTTCTATCGGGATTCCTGCAAGAAAGATATGGAAGGAAACAGTGCATGATTCTCGCCAACGTCCCCAGTATTTTCGGATGGATATTGCTGTACTACACACACTCCACAGTTTCACTTTACTCGTCCACCGTGCTGATGGGCTTGGGCATAGGATTCAGCGAAGCCTCGATATCGTCGTACGTCGGCGAAATAACCGAACCGAGACTCAGGGGATCGATGGCTTCATTGGCGTGTAAATCGTCTATTCTTGGAGTGTTGTTGACTTACTTTTTGGTATATTAATTCGAATGGAGAAACGTCGCATTGCTGAGTACACTTTGTCCGATCACGTGTATATGCCTTGTGATTTTGGTACCTACATATATGTTTGTTGTACGTATAAGTTAATTTTAATGGTACTGCTTGTATTTCTTATAGATTCCAGAGTCTCCAGTGTGGCTGGTTTCCAAAGCGAAAAACGAAAAAGCCGAAAATTCCTTGTGTTGGTTAAGAGGATGGGTAGAACCCGAAATTGTCAAAACCGAACTCCTTGAACTCATCCGATATAACGAAGTACCTGGAACTCATCGAAGAACGGCCGATGTTAATCGTAGGAATTTATCATCAAAATTAGCCGAGCTTAAGGATCCTTCGGTGTACAGACCTTTTATATTTATAATGTTTTATTTCCTGATTTCCGATATCGTTAGCAGTGTACCTTGGAGACCGTAGGTATACCAGTAAAATCGTGACAGAAGTTGGTATATCGAATAATCAAAGTTTGCTTTTGGTAAATATAGGTACTACGGAAATATATACACTTTTATAGGTAAAATAATAAATATTTTTATTGAAATATTTCCAGGTAGTTTTTGCTGTAGTACAAACTATTGGATCCTCGATAGTTGTATTGACCGTCCATTATCTGGGGAAAATTTTTTTGACTAATTTGACATTTTTTATCAACACATTATTGATGTTTCTATTCGGTATCTACATTGTAGCAATTAAGAATGGCTATATATACTCAATTACTTGGATTCCTATAACTTATATATTATGTGGCATTAACTTTTTTGGAGCTTCAGTCATTATTTTGCCATGGATGTTACTTAGTGAAGTTTACCAAACAAATAAAGCTCATTAAAATTATACATTTTCTTACACAAAAATTTACTATTCTTAGAAATATAACAATAAGTCAGTTGACGAATATGTTTAAATAAAATCAACAAGTTATACTGAGAGTCGGTATAGTATTTATGGTGGGGAGAATGTAGGGGATTTTTATTCCCCCACTAAATATAATTTATAATATTCTAATATAGGTACCTCATCAAATAATTTTTGATTCAAGATAAAAATGTATTACTGTCCGTATGTTTGTACTTTTGTAGCTTATAGACCCAAATACTACTCCACCGTTTTTGACAAATATTCGCTATATTTGTTGATAGTCACCATATTATGTACCTATAGGTAGTTAGAAGGAACAGAGTACTTGTACGAATATTTGATATTTGATATTTGTTCTTCGCTACCTCCTGGTGCATTATCGGTGACACGAAACAACGATATACGTTATGTGTTCGTAAAATAAATTATTCGTTAAATAATTCCCAAGGGGGGGGGGGGGGTGGTCTACTTGGCTGGTCAAGTAATTTGATGATTATTCGAGCATTAGAGAATTGAAAGCCGATATAATATTATATATACATATATTATTATAATATTTTAATATAGCTGTGTTACCTACCCATTAATTATAAATTATTATTATGTAATAGTGTAGTACTAACATTTACTAAAAGTAGATTACAACATAGTACATTTTTGATGATGATTATGATAATTAGAGATAGTAAGTACAATATTCTATACACACCGAAGTATAATATCTATGTAGGTACCTAATTTTAGGGAATATTGTTTATTTTTATAGTTGACATATAAATTACGAATCAGCAATCAGGTATATTCCGTCCTTTTAATAATTTAATCTAATTGCAGTTGGTTATGATTTTTTTTTCAGAGCCCGAGGTATTGCGACTGGGTCATCTGCAGGATTGTCTTATTTATTAATATTCATATTAACAAAATCATACATAGAAATAGAGATTCTATTGACCTTGGAATACACTATGGTTCTCTTTGGTTGTTTGGGCATTTTTGGATCACTCTACTTATACTTTTATTTACCAGAAACGGAAAATAAAACACTATTAGAAATCGAAGAATTTTTAACATAAAATTTACAAATAAAGCTATTTATAATAATTAAACATATCATTAATAAATGTAGCTAGTTTTGTTTTTAGAATATCATGAAATGCATTTACTTGAAAATTCATAATTCCAATTTAAAGCTACATTGTGTCACATATCCGACATACCTACTTAATTAAGTCAGTACTATTCTGTGATGTGAAATATTTTTTTTAATTACCGTATACATTATTTCCTTTATTAAAGCAAATATTTTGACGTATAATCATAATATATTGTGCATTAAAATTAACGTAAATGTTTGGACGCCAAACAATTTATAATAAAGTGGGTAAGTGGATGTCGCTCTGATGTACAGTAGGTTACAAGTGGGTCAATGTATAAAGTGGTGGAGAACGATTCCGCAAAGTTTGCGGAATCGTGTTGATTTTAATAGCCACTGATAAACATTATACATACACGACTCCGCAAATGTAATATATATATACGATTCCGCATAATTATTATAAATGCAACGTTGCCATTCCGAAAACAAAATAATATTTTTAAATTTCAACGAAATAACTATTTGCTTGGTTAAGCTTGGTTGTAATATGAAGTAATCTTGTCTAAATTTTTTAGGTTGTATATGGTTACAGTAAAAACATTGGTAATATATAACAACATTCAGCGAAAATGTCATTTAAATTTGGTATTTTTTTTAGAGATATGGTTCCTACAATCCTGCTGTATAGTATAGTTGTTAAGCCATAGCTAAATAATAAATAGGTAGCGTACATTTCCGGTGAACATTTTCCTTTTTGACTGAGATAAAAAAACTGTTAGGGAAAACCATCTATTAAAATGATTGATATCAATCATAGCATGAATGATCGATACATTAACTAATAAAATAAATTATTATTAAACAAATAGTTAATGCATTTAGGTTCCTAATCAGTAATCATTTAAAAGAACTATTAACATATGTTGTTTCACATCGTGATATGAAACAAAACAATATTATTGTTAATTTTTGAATATTATTTATTATATATTATTTTTTTAATGAACAATATACCTATTATATAAGTATAATTATATATTTGTAATTAAATATTAATAATGTTCATATAAAAATGTATTAGTATTCTATTTTTTTAATTTTTTTGTTAATCAGTATAAACTTTACTTTGTAACGATTATTATTATGATGTATAAGCTCTATGTCGTGTATAAATTTGATATTATACTGTGTTGGCTATTATCTAAATAAACATTTTATATTGTATTGTGTATTACTGTGCTGGCTATAATATTATTATTATTATTATTATTATTATTAAAGTAGGAAGCTGGTGAATATATTGTTTATTTTTTGACGACGATAAACACTTTGTAAATGTTTAATCGAATACAATTAGTTTATTTATATTGTAATAAATTTCGACAGTGTTTTTTTAATAATTGTATCGAATAAGTTTTTAACTATTTTAACTTTGGTTTTTTTTACTATAGTGTTATTAAATTAAAGTAATGTTTTCAATTTGATTTTTGTCCACGACTTAAAATAGCTGCCGACACAGAAACTAGCACCCTAAGTTTCAAGCATGAAGTCAACCAGTATTATTAAGATGTGGCTGAAGCTGGTCCAAGTTATGCTAAAGGTATGGTTTTAGTTAAATTCCATTTTACTTGAGTATTAATAATACTTAACGTACTTAAAATTAGTTATAGAACGATAGGTGCACTTAGGATTGATTCGATAATCCAGATTTATTAAAAACCGAATTTTAGTGAAATATGTTACAGGCGGAAAGCCCAAGGACTCATCGTTATAAAATGTTTAAAATTTGTACGAGATTAAATTTCTTTCAACATTAAAATCCTAAGAAAGCCTATGGCTATCGTATTAAATATTTGAAATCATAGGCGTTATACTTATATTTGAGAAATGGTGCATTTTGCTATTTTTTTTCTTGTGGAATTTGGTTTTAAAATGCCAATAATAATTTCTAGTGCTAATACTTGATATTATATAAAAACACAAATATAATAAAAATATGCATAATATACATTAGAAACACAACATGATAATAAAAAAAAATAAATGGATAATTAGGTAACGAATTCAGTAAATCTAATAAAAATTACATAGGTACCTACTTATATTAAGGTAACGTCCCAGGCTTATATTTTATTTTTATTGTTGTGATTTTTCTATAATCACTGTATCTTTTAGTAGTTATCGCTAGTTATTAGGTACTTACTTATGTTCTACTCGAAATAACATATTTACAGTCAAAATTTATGTCATACAAATTCATCAGCCAGACAAATTATTTTTAAATGTTTTTAATCTTTTAATTGTAATTCATATACAATAATTTCAGTATTTGTTAAATTTAACTTTTTTACTTTCTATATATTTCACTGTAATGATTACCTATATATTAAGTGATTAAGCACATTTTTGTTAAAAAAAGTATTTTTTACCCATTGAAATTGAATAAAAATAGATGAAAAATAGTTTGTTCGCGTAACAATAGTTTTTAAAAACATTACAATTATGTATATAATTTTTAATTTGACAGCTCATTTCGACAAACCGTATAATTTTGGTGAACCGTAGGCAGCATTTGAAATGTAAGGTGCAACTTGTATATTAACGCCTGTAGAGATTTAAGCGCAAAATAATAATATAAAGTGTCAATTTTTAATTAGTTATAGTTTGTCGTTAGGGTTACCTACTTAATCGGTTTCTAAACATATTGAAGTTATTCTATTGTTGGGTTATTTTATCGGTTTTTAACTGTTAAATTATGTTAGTTTTAAGAATCATGTATTTCTGTATAGAAAATGTTAAATAAGTGAAGTTGATAAAGATGAACACGTCGTGTACCTTTATTTAAGTAAACAAAGACATGTAAGTTTACAAAAACTATTCACGTAGTTACCTATACTATAAATATTAGATGGGTAGAACCCGAAATTGTCAAAACTGAACTCCTTGAACTCATCCGATATAACGAAGTATCTGGAACTCATCGAAGAACTTCCGATGTTAATCGTAGGAATTTATCATCAAAATTAGCCGAGCTTAAGGATCTTTCGGTGTACAGACCTTTTATATTTATATGTTTTATTTCGTCGCCTCAGAATGAAAAGGTTCTAAATCAATTTTTTTGAAAAATGGTTTTTTTGCATATAATCATTTATAATTTTTTGTTGTATAATTCAATCTTGAAATCGGATCGATCCGTTGATTATTCAATGAGATACAGAGAATGAAAAGGTTCTAACTCATAAAAACGTGAATGATAAGCGCGAAACCGAGAAATATCAGTTACAACCTTTTCATTCTAAACAATAATTAAGAATGAAATAGTTCTAAACGGTCTTAAATGTAATATCTCAGAATGAAAAGGTACCGTTATAATACGGTTATACCACTGGTACAATATAAATTATTATTGTGCCATAATAAAATATTATTCCAGCATTCCAGCATAAATTTAGCGTCTATTTTTGTTTTGTTGAGGTGATAAGGTAGGTAATACCTACATGCCACATGTATATAGTACCTACTTTAGTATTATAAGAAATGGTACATTTAAATTTGAATTACGTTTTTGACATTTTTCATTATTGTGAATTATGATTTATGCCGTTTAATTTATATTGTTGCGTTTTCAATATACCCCCCTTCCCTACACTAATTGCGCCAATGGACCATACAATTGTAACTTATTAGTTATTACTTATTACTTATAGTAGGTATGTCCAGGCACATACACAACAAAAAAAAATTCCGGGGGTGGGGGGGACCCTCCGCCCACTACATATACGGGCATGTTATAATATAATAATACTTAACTTAAAAACTAAAAATATTGCATAATAAAAAAATGTATAATTTATAACATAGTTTACACTAGAAGTTGGTATCACTGCATAGAAAAAATGATTCAAATCAGAATGAAAAAGTTCTAACTAAATAAATAATTTTTATTTTCAGAATGAAAAAGTTCTACACCAGTAAAATCGTGACAGAACTTGGTATACCGAATAATCAAAGTTTGCTCTTGGTAAATATAGGTACTACGGAAATATATTATACACTTGTATAGGTAAAATAATAAATATTTTTATTGAAATATTTCCAGGTAGTTTTTGCTGTACTACAAACTATTGGATCCTTGATAGTAGTATTGACCGTCCATTATCTGGTTAAAAGGTTTTTTACTAATTTGACATTTTTTATCAACACATTATTGATGTTTTTATTCGGCATCTACATTGTAGCAATTAAGAATGGCTGTATCTACTCAACTCCTTGGATTACTTTAACTATATTATGTGGCATTAACTTATTTGGAGCTTCAGTCAATATTTTGCCATGGATGTTACTTAGTGAAGTTTTCCCAAACAAGTAAAGCTCATTAAAATTATACATTTTCTTACACAATAATTTACTATTCTTAGAAATATTACAATAAGTCAGTTGATGAATATGTTTAAATAAAATCAACAAGTTATACTGAGTCGGTATAGTATTTATGGTGGGGAGAATTTAGGGGATATTTATTCCCCCACCAAATATAATTTATAATATTCTTATATACCTAGTGTATATAGTATTAAATTTTATAGGGAAAAAAATGTCTATATTAATACAGTTGTTTTTCTTTTTTTTTTAAGAATTTATCTAGACACACGGTAGCGTGTCAAGCCAAGTTCTAGCTAACAGAACTGGCGAGCAGCACCGTGTGTAATATTACACGAACCATTTGGAGCCACTTTTGACCCCCTCATAACTCAAAAACTATTCCACATAAACATGTCAAATTTGGCTCATATATTGAGACTAACGAGATACATATGTGCTCTATATTTCATAAACACACTTCAAACCGTTATTTAGATATTAACATCCGAAAATCGTCATTTTTATCACTAACTGACCTATAGATCAAAATTCTAACCCAGTTCCAGATGACCTAGAAAGTTCAAATTTGGCATACAGATAGGTAGTTAGGTAAAT